CTCTGCAAAAGTTTGAATAAGTATTGCTTTCAGCTTTTCTTGGGGGTGCATGCTCTCTCAAGAAAGTAGTACCAGGCACGTGCAAAACTTTGGAGGGAAAACAAAGAGTATGGTTGTATTTTTGAAATTGGCCTATTGATACATTGACACAGCGCTATGTGTGGCCATATGTGAAACAGTGGGCCAGTTATTTAAACGGCGTTTAGGTAGAGTTTTAAGAAAATGCGTTTTATGCCATTTTTCGTTTGGTGAACGCTTTTATGTAAACACCCTTTATTGTGACAGTCTCAGTAGCGCATATAACGTAGACAAGAAAAGCATTTGTCTTTAAAGAATCCACTAGAGATTTGGTGGGTCCAAAGATCTCCTAAACTGCTGCCAAAGTTGGACTTCGTTTAAATAACCGACCCAATGTGTCCAAGTTTCCAGGGCCGTGTATGATAATAAAAGATTGCACTTGGCTGTTTGGCTGTAAATGAGTTGATGAGTGCAGCTGTTTAGGGCTGCACAGACAATAGGTATGTTAAAGTGCCAAAACTTCCACCAAATCAGTTATAAATACGTCCCAAGCTTAACTAGCTCCTGAGCAGGTAAACTCTGTTTGTGGTTTCAGGACTGTACAAACCGCAGGTCTTTGTATTTTCCTTATGTAATCGTTACTACTTTTACTATGACATAAGAGAACATATAATTTTAAACGTTTGGAAAAAGAACTATTAGATAAAAGAAGTAAAAAAAAACCAAGGTCAAAAACGAGTTGTAAGGTACTTGTCAGAGTTAAATAATAGCCCATAATCCCAATAAAATATTTTAATTCTTACTTAAATCTGAGGGTTTCTGGTAATTTTTTCTAAATTTGGTGTTCTTGGTGTTCAAGCCTCGTAATGTAGTCTCTTGTGATAACGCAGGGCTGTTTAGGACTATGTAGCCCTGTGTCCGGGTATACAGGGCTATGTGGGATTGCATAGAGTTCTGTTCGGCTATGTAGGGTTGTGTAGTAATATGTAAGGTTCTGTAGAGCTATGTAACGCTACGTAGAGCTATGTAGGGTTATGTAGGGTTGTGAGGGGATTATAGGGCTATTTGTAAAATGCAGCTAGTGGTCTATTATCAATGCTGCGTTCTGATTGGTTGCGCTACTACTAGGCTAGATGTTACAGCCCACTATTAGCGAAAAGCGCCAGCTTTGAAAATCAAGACAATGGCATATGTATGGCTATGTATGTCTATGTACAGCTATATTTAAGCAACAGAAAACGTTTTCTGTTGGCATAGTTCCATATAAACACAAGAGGGGTTCGGAGAAAACGAGACAGTTATTCAAACCCGAGACGATTCGTCTCGGGTTTGTATAACTGTCGAGAATTCTCCCAACGCAGGAAATAAGCTTTCCATTGCTTTTATAAAATAACTTTCCTGAGAAAAAACACAACACTCTTTGTACGGCACTGATTAAAAGATAAATTCCAACCAGTCGCAAAGTCTTGTCCACGAAGTGTTGTGCACGTGTAACTAGTTATGGCTATGTAGGGCTATGCAGGGCTATGTATGGTTATGTAGGCCTATGTAGGGCTGTGTATGCCTAGGTATGGCTATGTAGGGCTATGTAGGGCTGTGTATGGCTGTGTATGGCTAAGTAGGACTCAGTATGGCTATGTAGGGCCATGTATGGCTATGTATGACGGTGTAGGGCTATGTAGGGCAGAGTATGGCTATGTAGGGCTATGTATGGTTATGTGGGGCTATGTAGGGCTGTGTAGGGCTATGTATGGCTATGTAGGGTTATGTATGGCTATGTAGGGCTATGTATGGCTGTGTATGGCTGTAAATGGCTCTGTATGGCTATGTATGGATGTGTAGGGCTGTGTATGGCTGTGTAGGGCTATGTATGGCTATGTATGGCTATGTACCGCTGTGTATGGCTGTGAATAGCTGTGTATGGCTATGTAGGGCTATGTATGGCTATGTATGGCTGTGTATGGCTATGTATGGCTAGGTATGGCTGTGTATGGATGTGTATGGCTGTGTAGGGCTCTGTATGGCTATGTATGGCTATGTAGGGCTATGTATGGTTATGTAGGGCTATGTAGGGCTGTGTAGGGCTGTGTATGGCTGTGTAGGGCTATGTATGGCTATGTATGGCTATGTAGGGCTATGTATGGTTATGTAGGGCTATGTTGGGCTATGTAGGGCTGTGTAGGGCTGTGTATGGCTATGTAGGGCTATGTAGGGCTATGTATGGCTATGTATGGCTATGTATGGCTATGTAGGGCTATGTATGGCTGTGTATGGCTGTGTATGGCTGTGTTTGGCTGTGTAGGGCTATGTATGGCTATGTATGGCTGTCTATGGCTATGTATGGCTAGGTATGGCTGTGTATGGATGTGTATGGCTGTGTAGGGCTGTGTATGGCTGTGTAGGGCTATGTATGGCTATGTATGGCTATGTATCGCTGTGTATGGCTGTGAATAGCTGTGTATGGCTATGTAGGGCTATGTATGGCTATGTATGGCTGTCTATGGCTATGTATGGCTAGGTATGGCTGTGTATGGATGTGTATGGCTGTGTAGAGCTATGTATGGCTATGTATGGCTATGTAGGGCTATGTATGGTTATGTGGGGCTATGTAGGGCTGTGTATGGCTGTGTAGGGCTATGTATGGCTATGTATGGCTATGTAGGGCTATGTATGGTTATGTAGGGCTATGTTGGGCTATGTAGGGCTGTGTATGGCTCTGTATGGCTATGTATGGATGTGTATGGCTATGTATGGCTGTGTATGGCTATGTATGGCTATGTATGGTTATGTATGGCTGTGTATGGCTATGTATGGCTATGTATGGTTATGTAGGGCTATGTAGGGCTGTGTAGGGCTGTGTATGGCTATGTAGGGCTATGTATGGCTATGTAGGGCTATGTATGGTTATGTAGGGCTATGTAGGGCTGTGTAGGGCTGTGTATGGCTATGTATGGCTATGTATGGCTGTGTATGGCTATGTATGGCTTTGTATGGCTATGTATGGCTATGTATGGTTATGTATGGCTGTGTATGGCTATGTATGGCTATGTATGGTTATGTAGGGCTATGTAGGGCTGTGTAGGGCTGTGTATGGCTATGTAGGGCTATGTATGGCTATGTAGGACTATGTATGGTTATGTAGGGCTATGTAGGGCTGTGTAGGGCTGTGTATGGCTATGTATGGCTATGTATGGCTGTGTATGGCTATGTATGGCTGTGTATGGCTATGTATGGCTATGTATGGTTATGTAGGGCTATGTAGGGCTGTGTAGGGCTGTGTAGGGCTGTGTATGGCTATGTAGGGCTATGTATGGTTATGTAGGGCTATGTAGGGCTGTGTAAGGCTGTGTATGGCTATGTATGGCTATGTATGGCTGTGTATAGGGCTATGTATGGCTATGTAGGGCTATGTAGGGCTATGTAGGGCTGTGTAGGGCTGTGTAGGGCTGTGTATGCCTATGTATGGCTTTGTATGGCTGTGTATGGCTGTGTATGGCTATGTATGGCTATGTATGGCTATGTAGGGCTATGTATGGCTATGTAGGGCTATGTATGGCTATGTAGGGCTGTGTATGGCTATGTAGGGCTATGTATGGCTATGTAGGGCTATGTATGGCTATGTAGGGCTATGTATGGCTTATGTATGTGTATAGGCTATGTATGGCTATGTATGGCTATGTATGGCTATGTATGGCTATGTATGGCTATGTATGGCTATGTATGGCTATGTAGGGCTATGTATGGCTATGTATGGCTATGTATGGCTATGTATGGCTATGTATGGCTATGTATGGCTATGTATGGCTATGTATGGCTATGTATGGCTATGTATGGCTATGTATGGCTATGTAGGGCTATGTATGGCTATGTAGGGCTATGTAGGGCTATGTAGGGCTATGTATGGCTATGTATGGCTATGTATGGCTATGTAGGGCTATGTATGGCTATGTATGGCTATATATGGCTATGTAGGGCTATGTATGGCTATGTATGGCTATGTAGGGCTATGTATGGCTATGTAGGGCTATGTATGGCTATATATGGCTATGTATGGCTATATATGGCTATGTATGGCTATGTATGTCTATGTATGGCTATGTAGCGTTATGTATGGCTATGTAGGGCTATGTATGGCTATGTAGGGCTATGTATGGCTATGTATGGCTATGTAGGGCTATGTATGGCTGTGTAGGGCTATGTAGGCCTATGTAGGGCTATGTAGGGCTATGTATGGCTATGTATGGTTATGTATGGCTATGTAGGGCTATGTAGGGCTGTGTATGGCTGTGTATGGCTATGTATGGCCATGTAGGGCTATGTATGGCTATGTAGGGCTATGTATGGTTATGTAGGGCTATATAGGGCTATGTATGCCTATGTATGGCTGTGTATGGCTGTGTATGGCTGTGTATAGCTATGTATGCCTATGTAGGGCTGTGTATGGCTATGTAGGGCTATGTATGGCTATGTAGGGCTATGGAGGGCTATGTATGGCTGTGTATGGTTATGGTATGTAGGGCTATGTATGGGGGCTATGTATGGCTATGTATATGGCTATGTATGGCTATGTATGGCTATGTATGGCTATGTATGGCTATGTATGGCTATGTATGCTATATGGCTATGTATGGCTATATGGCTATGTATGGCTATGTATAGCTGTGTATGGCTGTGTGTATGGCTATGTAGGGCTGTGTAGGGCTATGTATGTGTAGGGCTGTGTATGGCTATGTATGGCTATGTATGGCTATGTAGGACTATGTATGGTTATGTAGGGCTATGTAGGGCTGTGTAGGGCTGTGTATGGCTATGTATGGCTATGTATGGCTGTGTATGGCTATGTATGGCTGTGTATGGTTATGTATGGGCTATGTAGGGCTATGTAGGGCTGTGTATGGGCTGTGTAGGGCTGTGTATGGCTATGTAGGGCTCTGTATGGCTATGTAGGGCTGTGTATGGTTATGTAGGGCGATGTATGGCTATGTATGGCTGTGTATGGCTATGTATGGCTATGTATGGCTATGTATGGCTATGTATGGCTATGTATGGTTATGTAGGGCTATGTAGGGCTGTGTAGGGCTGTGTATGGCTATGTATGGCTATGTATGGCTGTGTATAGGGCTATGTAGGGCTATGTAGGGCTATGTAGGGCTATGTAGGGCTATGTAGGGCTGTGTAGGACTGTGTAGGGCTGTGTATGCCTATGTATGGCTTTGTATGTGTGTGTATGGCTGTGTATGACTGTGTATTGCTATGTATTGCTATATATGGCTATGTAGGGCTATGTATGGTTATGTATGGCTGTGTATGGCTATGTATGGCTATGTATGGTTATGTAGGGCTTTGTAGGGCTATGTAGGGCTGTGTAGGGCTGTGTATGGCTATGTATGGCTGTGTATGGCTGTGTATGGCTATGTATGGCTGTGTATGGCTATGTATGGCTATGTATGGTTATGTATGGCTGTGTATGGTTATGGCTATGTATGGCTATGTAGGGCTATGTGTGTGTATGGTAGGGCTATGTATGGCTATGTAGGACTATGTATGGTTATGTAGCTGTGTAGGGCTGTGTATAGCTATGCTATGTATGGCTGTGTATGGCTGTATGTATGGCTATGTATAGCTATGTATGGTTATGTAGGGCGATATGGGCTATGGCTATGTAGGGCTGTGTAGGGCTGTGTATGGCTGTGGGGCTGTGTAGGGCTATGTATGGTTATGTAGGGCTATGTGTGTGGGGCTATGTATGGCTATGTATGGGCTATATGGGGCTATGTATATGGGGCTATGTGTAGGGCTGTGTATAGCTATGTATGGCTATGTATGGCTGTGTATAGGGCTATATAGGGCTATGTAGAACTATGTGTAGGGCTATGTAGGGCTGTGTAGGACTGTGTAGGGGCTGTGTATGCCTATGTATTAACTTTGTATGGCTGTGTGGCTGTGTATGACTGTGTATTGCTATGTATTGCTATATATGGCTATGTAGGGCTATGTATGGTTATGTAGGGCTATGTAGGGCTGTGTAGGGCTGTGTATGGCTATGTAGGGCTATGTATGGCAATGTAGGGCTATGTATGGCTATGTAGGGCTATGAATGGTTATGTATGGCTATGTAGGGCTGTGTAGGACTGTGTATGGCTATGTATGGCTATGTATGGCTGTGTATGGCTCTGTATGGCTATGTATTGCTATGTATGGCTATGTAGGGCTATGTATGGTTATGTAGGGCTATGTAGGGCTGTGTAGGGCGTTGTATGGCTATGTAGGGCTATGTAGGGCTATGTAGGGCTATGTATGGCTATGTAGGGCTATGTATGGTTATGTAGGGCTATGTAGGGCTGTGTAGGGCTGTGTATGGCTATATGTTGGGCTATGTATGGTTATGTATGGCTGTGTATGGCTATGTATGGCTATGTATGGTTATGTAGGGCTATGTAGGGCTGTGTAGGGCTGTGTATGGCTATGTAGGGCTATGTATGGCTATGTAGGGCTATGTATGGTTATGTAGGGCTATGTAGGCCTGTGTAGGGCTGTGTATGGCTATGTATGGCTATGTATGGCTGTGTATGGCTATGTATGGCTTTGTATGGCTATGTATGGCTATGTATGGTTATGTATGGCTGTGTATGGCTATGTATGGCTATGTATGGTTATGTAGGGCTATGTAGGGCTGTGTAGGGCTGTGTATGGCTATGTAGGGCTATGTATGGCTATGTAGGACTATGTATGGTTATGTAGGGCTATGTAGGGCTGTGAAGGGCTGTGTATGCCTATGTATGGCTATGTATGGCTGTGTATGGCTATGTATGGCTGTGTGTGGCTATGTATGGCTATATATGGTTATGTAGGGCTATGTAGGGCTGTGTAGGGCTGTGCAGGGCTGTGTATGGCTATGTAGGGCTATGTATGGTTATGTAGGGCTATGTAGGGCTGTGTAAGGCTGTGTATGGGTATGTATGGCTATGTATGGCTGTGTATAAGGCTATGTATGGCTATGTAGGGCTATGTAGGGCTATGTAGGGCTGTGTAGGGCTGTGTAGGGCTGTGTATGCCTATCTATGGCTTTGTATGGCTGTGTATGGCTGTGTATTGCTATGTATGGCTATGTATGGCTATGTAGGGCTATGTATGGTTATGTAGGGCTATGTAGGGCTGTGTAGGGCTGTGTATGGCTATGTAGGGCTGTGTATGGCTATGTAGTGCTATGTATGGTTATGTAGGGCTGTGTAGGGCTGTGTAGGGCTGTGTATGGCTATGTAGGGCTATGTATGGCTATGTAGGGCTATGTATGGTTATGTAGGGCTATGTAGGGCTGTGTAGGGCTGTGTATGGCTATGTATGGCTATGTATGGCTGTGTATAGGGCTATGTAGGGCTATGTAGGGCTATGTATGGTTATGTAGGGCTATGTAGGGCTGTGTAGGGCTGTGTATGGCTATGTAGGGCTATGTATGGCAATGTAGGGCTATGTATGGCTATGTAGGGCTATGAATGGTTATGTATGGCTATGTAGGGCTGTGTAGGACTGTGTATGGCTATGTATGGCTATGTATGGCTGTGTATGGCTCTGTATGGCTATGTATTGCTATGTATGGCTATGTAGGGCTATGTATGGTTATGTAGGGCTATGTAGGGCTGTGTAGTGTGGGCTGTGTATGGCTATGTAGGGCTATGTAGGGCTATGTATATATGCTATGTAGGGCTATGTATGGTTATGTAGGGCTATGTAGGGCTGTGTAGGGCTGTGTATGGCTATATGTTGGGCTAGGTATGGTTATGTATGGCTGTGTATAATATGTATGGCTATGTATGGTTATGTATAGGGCTATGTAGGGGCTGTGTAGGGCTGTGTATAGCTATGTAGGGCTATGTATAGCTGTAGGGCTATGTATGGTTATGTAGGGCTATGTGTGTAGGGCTGTGTAGGGCTGTGTAGCTATGTATAGCTATGTATGGCTGTGTATAGCTATGCTATGTATAGCTTTGGCTATGTATGGCTATGTATGGTTATGTATGGCTGTGTATGGCTATGTATGGCTATGTATGGTTATGTAGGGCTATATAGGGCTGTGTAGGGCTGTGTATAGCTATGTAGGAGCTATGTATGGCTATGTAGGACTATGTATGGTTATGTAGGGCTATGTAGGGCTGTGAAGGGCTGTGTATGGCTATGTATGGCTATGTATGGCTGTGTATGGCTATGTATGGCTGTGTATGGCTATGTATGGCTATGTATGGTTATGTAGGGCTATGTAGGGCTGTGTAGGGCTGTGTAGGGCTGTGTATGGCTATGTAGGGCTATGTATGGTTATGTAGGGCTATGTAGGGCTGTGTAAGGCTGTGTATGGCTATGTATGGCTATGTATGGCTGTGTATAGGCCTATGTATGGCTATGTAGGGCTATGTAGGGCTATGTAGGGCTGTGTAGGGCTGTGTAGGGCTGTGTATGCCTATCTATGGCTTTGTATGGCTGTGTATGGCTGTGTATTGCTATGTATGGCTATGTATGGCTATGTAGGGCTATGTATGGTTATGTAGGGCTATGTAGGGCTGTGTAGGGCTGTGTATGGCTATGTAGGGCTATGTATGGCTATGTAGGGCTATGTATGGCTATGTAGGGCTATGTATGGTTATGTATGGCTATGTAGGGCTGTGTAGGACTGTGTATGGCTATGTATGGCTATGTATTGCTGTGTATGGCTCTGTATGGCTGTGTGTGGCTATGTATGGCTATGTATGGCTAGGTAGGACTATGTATGGCTGTGTATGGCTATGTAGGGCTATGTAGGGCTATGTATGGCTATGTAGGGCTATGTATGGTTATGTAGGGCTATGTAGGGCTGTGTAGGGCTGTGTATGGCTATGTAGGGCTATGTATGGCTATGTATGGCTGTGTATGGCTATGTATGGCTATGTATGGTTATGTAGGGCTATCTAGGGCTATGTAGGGCTGTGTAGGGCTGTGTATGGCTATGTATGGTTATGTATGGCTGTGTATGGCTATGTATGGCTATGTATGGTTATGTAGGGCTATGTAGGGCTGTGTAGGGCTGTGTAGGGCTGTGTATGGCTATGTATGGCTATGTATTGCTGTGTATGGCTCTGTATGGCTGTGTGTGGCTATGTATGGCTATGTATGGCTAGGTAGGACTATGTATGGCTGTGTATGGCTATGTAGGGCTATGTATGGCTATGTAGGGCTATGTATGGTTATGTAGGGCTATGTAGGCCTGTGTAGGGCTGTGTATGGCTATGTATGGCTATGTATGGCTGTGTATGGCTATGTATGGCTGTGTATGGCTATATATGGCTATGTATGGTTATGTATGGCTGTGTATGGCTATGTATGGCTATGTATGGTTATGTAGGGCTATGTAGGGCTGTGTAGGGCTGTGTATGGCTATGTAGGGCTATGTATGGCTATGTAGGACTATGTATGGTTATGTAGGGCTATGTAGGGCTGTGTAGGGCTGTGTATGGCTATGTATGGCTATGTACGGCTGTGTATGGCTATGTATGGCTGTGTATGGCTATGTATGGCTATGTATGGTTATGTAGGGCGATGTAGGGCTGTGTAGGGCTGTGTAGGGCTGTGTATGGCTATGTAGGGCTATGTATGGCTATGTATGGCTTTGTATGGCTATGTATGGCTATGTATGGTTATGTAGGGCTTTGTAGGGCTATGTAGGGCTGTGTAGGGCTGTGTATGGCTATGTATGGTTATGTATGGCTGTGTATGGCTATGTATGGCTATGTATGGTTATGTAGGGCTATGTAGGGCTGTGTAGGGCTGTGTATGGCTATGTAGGGCTATGTATGGCTATGTAGGGCTATGTATGGTTATGTAGGGCTATGTAGGCCTGTGTAGGGCTGTGTATGGCTATGTATGGCTATGTATGGCTGTGTATGGCTATGTATGGCTGTGTATGGCTATGTATGGCTATGTATGGTTATGTATGGCTGTGTATGGGTATGTATGGCTATGTATGGTTATGTAGGGCTATGTAGGGCTGTGTAGGGCTGTGTATGGCTATGTAGGGCTATGTATGGCTATGTAGGACTATGTATGGTTATGTAGGGCTATGTAGGGCTGTGTAGGGCTGTGTATGGCTATGTATGGCTATGTATGGCTGTGTATGGCTATGTATGGCTGTGTATGGCTATGTATGGCTATGTATGGTTATGTAGGGCGATGTAGGGCTGTGTAGGGCTGTGTAGGGCTGTGTAGGGCTGTGTATGGCTATGTAGGGCTCTGTATGGCTATGTAGGGCTATGTATGGTTATGTAGGGCGATGTAGGGCTGTGTAGGGCTGTGTAGGGCTGTGTATGGCTATGTAGGGCTATGTATGGCTATGTAGGGCTATGTATGGTTATGTAGGGCTATGTAGGGCTGTGTAGGGCTGTGTATGGCTATGTATGGCTATGTATGGCTGTGTATAGGGCTGTGTAGGGCTATGTAGGGCTATGTAGGGCTATGTAGGGCTGTGTAGGACTGTGTAGGGCTGTGTATGCCTATGTATGGCTTTGTATGGCTGTGTATGGCTGTGTATGACTGTGTATTGCTATGTATTGCTATATATGGCTATGTAGGGCTATGTATGGTTATGTAGGGCTATGTAGGGCTGTGTAGGGCTGTGTATGGCTATGTAGGGCTATGTATGGCTATGTAGGGCTATGTATGGCTATGTAGGGCTATGAATGGTTATGTATGGCTATGTAGGGCTGTGTAGGACTGTGTATGGCTATGTATGGCTATGTATGGCTGTGTATGGCTCTGTATGGCTATGTATTGCTATGTATGGCTATGTAGGGCTATGTATGGTTATGTAGGGCTATGTAGGGCTGTGTAGGGCTGTGTATGGCTATGTAGGGCTATGTATGGCTATGTAGGGCTATGTATGGCTATGTAGGGCTATGTATGGTTATGTAGGGCTATGTAGGGCTGTGTAGGGCTGTGTATGGCTATATGTTGGGCTATGTATGGCTATGTAGGGCTCTGTATGGCTATTTAGGGCTATGTATGGTTATGTAGGGCTATGTAGGGCTGTATAGGGCTGTGTATGGCTATGTAGGGCTATATATGGCTATGTAGGGCTATGTATGGTTATGTAGGGCTATGTAGGGTTGTGTAGGGCTGTGTATGGCTATGTAGGGCTATGTATGGCTATGTAGGGCTATGTATGGCTATGTAGGGCTATGTATGGTTATGTAGGGCTATGTAGGGCTGTGTAGGGCTGTGTATGGCTATGTAGGGCTATGTATGGCTATGTAGGGCTATGTATGGCTATGTAGGGCTATGTATGGTTATGTAGGGCTATATAGGGCTGTGTAGGGCTGTGTATGGCTATGTAGGGCTATGTATGGCTATGTAGGGCTATGTATGGCTATGTAGGGCTTTGGATGGTTATGTAGGGCTATGTAGGTCTGTGTAGGGCTCTGTATGGCTATGTAGGGCTATGTATGGCTATGTAGGGCTATGTATGGCTATGTAGGGCTATGCATGGTTATGTAGGGCTATGTAGGGCTGTGTATGGCTATGTAGGGCTATGTATGGCTATGTAGGGCTATGTATGGCTTTTATGGCTATGTAGTGCTATGTATGGTTATGTAGGGCTATGTAGGGCTGTGTAGGGCTGTGTATGGCTATGTAGGGCTATGTTGGGCTATGTAGGGCTATGTATGGCTATGTAGGGCTATGTATGGTTATGTAGGGCTATGTAGGGCTGTGTAGGGCTATGTAGGGCTGTGTAGGGCTGTGTATGGCTATGTAGGGCTATGTATGGCTATATAGGGCTATGTATGGCTATATATGGCTGTGTAGTGCTATGTATGGTTATGTAGGGCTATGTAGGGCTGTATAGGGCTGTGTATGGCTATGTAGGGCTATGTTGGGCTATGTAGGGCTATGTAAAGCTATTGAGAGAAATGTATTCCATATATTAGCCAACGGGGAACCACTATATGATGCTTACACCACGTACCTACCGAAAAATGCTGTAATTATCCGCTGACCGCCACACTGGGTGACTGCTTTGCAAGTTGTGAGAACATCGTTTGTCGGTCCCAGACCTCGTCTCTTCCCCCGTGCCGGTCGATGCTTTGGATAAACGCTCTGAGGGACGAGGGTTCGTATTCTTCACCATTTTTCTTTCGCACAGCAAGAACAAATTTTTTGATGATTTCTTGCAGTTCCACGGGCGTAATATTTTCAATTTCCCTTTTCTCGTCACAGGTGTCAAGTTATTCTTTGAAAACTTTTATGTCGTACAAGGTTTTCTCCCTCGTGTTCTCGTTTTCAAGTTTCTCTGTAAACTCTTTAACTTCTTCGTCGCTGACGGACGCAAACCTGCTCGCCATGCTTTTATTTTAAACAACAAACGCGACGCGAGAAACCAATTCAACAAGAGCAAAAGGCGGGATCGTGACGTCATTGAACGGTACGACACTCACAAAGGTGACATACGGAAAATACGCCACTCGGGTCCCGGATGAAGTGGCGTATGGAATCTACGAGTGGTTTTGTTCCCAGTAAAACACTCTTCTCCATATAGTAAGGGGGATTTCTGTAGCCATGTTTTTGCAAATCCAGGGTAGAACGTATTTCGTAGAGCACTCAATTCATTTTAATTGAAGAGCATTAATTTTGACTATATATATATATATATATATATATATATATATATATATATATGAAAACATTAATTTAATAACTATAACATAAACTGGCATGATATATGTGTCGACAAATACCGACAAAAGCTTGTTTTATTGGTACTGTATGTTCCATTCGGTATAACTGTGTCAGTTCTGCTGTGAAATAGCGTCAACATGCGTTTTGCTGGTTTCATTTTATCACGATATTTCAAAAGTACGGATTGAAAACTAAATTCAAGTTGGGAACGCTTGAATCGCGAAATTTAATGCCCTTTTCGTATTTGCCCATTGAAATCGTGAAAATTAATCCCCGCCAAATACTGTCTTGCCGAAATCGCGAAATTAATACTAGCCCGCGTAGCAGGCGCTTGGAAGTTATCGGCAGCGGCGGATCTAGGGGAGGGGCCCGGGGGGTCCGCCCTCCCCCCACTTATTTTTAGACCAAAAAGAGGCCCGAAGGGCCGAAAAAAATTTTTTTGAAGGCCGGGCCCCCCCGTTGTCTCAGAGTCTGGGTGAAGGAGGTCAATACAGCCGGGTCACTCGATTGGCTTGCCATACGTTCCATACATTTCCTTATTTTTCTTTAAAGCAAATCAATTTACAATAGCAATAGTCGTCATGATTTGATCTTTCGGCACGAACGACACTTACCTCCAGCCAAATTGCTGCTAACAGATGACGCAATCGCAGTTGCTTGTGCTGAAATGAGATATAGGCGTGATAAGATCAGTTAAGCGAATTCGAAATACAGTAAAAAAAAACACTGTAAACTCAATTGTAGTATTTTGATACCACAATGCCATCCAAGCTTTTAGTAAGGCTTGGATTTTCTTATATAGCCGACCACAGAAAATATTAAGACATTATTAGGCTTACTGTTACAGGTCGTTAAAGACAGGAATAGCCGGGCTTGCTTCAGTCGCGAAAGTTAGGGCGTCGACCATTAATTTTAGAACCGGCTGGCCTCATGAATTCCACTATTCAAATGGACTATCCAGTCAGATCAGTTTATTACAAAATGGTATGCACGGCAGTGATGGGTTTTTGTAAAAATTTCAAGTAAAGACTAAGTATTTCTTTTTCAAAATGACCGTTTTGGCCGTTTTTTTTAAACGGTTAAAATGCAACTTGTTTGATCGAACAAAAGGATTATATACCGTGGAATAATTATTCATTTTTGATGACGTCACAAAACGTGTTTCGTCAAATCACATAAAGCATTTAAAATATTTACTTGTCAAAACGATCTAAAGAACGTAATTAACTAACATCATTCCGCCTTTTGAGACGGTGTTCTTTGTATAACTTATAACTGACTGTTCTTTTTTTTTTCTGCTAAGTCACATGACCTGTTTGACTTTATTAAACGGTGGTTCTGTAAAGCCCTTGCCAACTAAACTATAAAATTAGGCGAAGGCAGTTTAAATAAGTCAGTGCCCTGTTTTGGTGATACATTTTGACCGTTACAAGTCGAATGTGACTGGTAAGCTTGGCGCAGACTGTCAAAGAAAAAGTTCATTAAATATGCAAGGTAAATAGGAATTGTTTGCCAAGTTTTACAACGATAAAAGAAATGGTTATATACTTGAAGTCAAAAACCACGAGGTCTGTGGTTAAGCCAAGCCCTAATACACATGAGAAGTATCGTACTGGAAACACATTTGGTAACATGAAAATACCTTTTCGCCATTCAAATTCATCCTCTTGATTTATTCGTTCTTCAAACTCCTCCACTTCCCGATGTAGATCAGTTTGCTGCTTTTCGGTTAGAATTTTCTTCAGGAGTTCTAGACGGTCGATTCTTAAGGAGTCTTTGTCTTCCAGCTCCTTCAAAAGTGATCTTACATCTTGTATGCTGCCATGTTCTTCTTCCGGTATCCGATCACTGCAAATGGCGACAAGTTGTTCCAGACAATCGAGCTCATCGAGAACATGAATAATTCTCTCCAGTAAGCTGTTATATTCCTTTCGTTTTCTCTCGAAAGATGTGACATTTCTAAAAAGTGACCATTCTTCAAGGCCTTTTAACAGATCTTTCAAAACTTCCAATTTGTCAAGACTTAGAAATCCATTGCTCTCTAACTCTTGAAACAATTCTTTAATGCTTTGCTCGTCACGTTGCGCCACCATACCTCTGCACATGAAGCGTAATTGCTCACCTACATTAGACTCGTTAAGGCGTTGGATTGTTTTAAAAAGCAGATTATTGTATTCGATGGCCGACATTTTGACGACGAGGTTAAGTTTAGGGTCCTTGTCCTTGAAAATAATCTGTATTTAGCATCCAAAGTCCGTCTGAGTGTGTTGATTTCACTTTGCCAGTCACGCGAGGTAATCAAATATGAATTAAACCCGAATAATAATGTTCGTCATGCTACATGAGGTTTTGCGTAATTATGCAAAACAAACAGCTGCTAACTTTCATTTGCATTGTTCGCTAAAGTGAGTACGACATGAAAGCTGGACAGCAGGAGCTTACAGTGTCCCCTCAAGTAGATTATAATCTGGGCATTTATGGTTTTTATGTACATTATTTTCCAAAAACTATTGTTAAAGACATTCACCAGGAATCAATAGATAGTAAAGCAAACTAAACTTTTAAAAAAAACTTGAAAAAAAAAATTAAAGAAAAAAAAAATAGTCGTGATCGACCACGTCCAATATTCCCACCACGGCAAACGAGAAACTCCAGTTTCTCTGTATCACAACATAGACCCTACAACGTGTCTCTCTTAAGGCCTGTTACATGGAGGTGGGGGACCCCAGGTAGTAAACCGCAGCGGGTCTCTCCACCTACCATGTAAATGTGATCAAATGAAAATGAGAGATTATATGGACAGGTGGGTTACCCCACCTAAGTGGGTTACCTCACCTACCTGGGGTCCCCAACCTTCATGTAAACAGGCCCTTATCTAATTTTTGCTTACGAAATCAGCTAGGAATGGAATTCGGATTGCAATTGGCAGGTGCAATTGGTGTTTATTGGCTGGTGCCAGTACTCCTCGTAAGGAGAAAGACCTTATATTGACCTCGTCTTATTACGACCGATTTTACTAGAAGACAATCAGCAGCCACTTTTTGTACCTACAAAAGGAAAACGAATTACCCTCTATCTGGTGGGCATTTTGACTCAAAGGACTTCTCGATTAAACGGGGCGTGGCAGGTCAAGTGATGTAGTTATAAATTAACATTAATAAATGAGGCTGAGTATGTTATAAAGAATTATGCAGATCGAGGAGAGTGATATCCGTCGAGGCCGTAGGCCGAGGCGGATAACACCCTCCGAGACATGTCCCTTGCTCTTTCTTAAACACAAGGCAGATGTTGGCATACTAACAGTTTGTGGCACCAAAGTCAAGAGTTTTTTGAAAAATTAACGTTAAAACAGTCCGTTAGTACCCCTGTGAGCCACTCCTAGCATTTAAGTTTTTATCTTGTCGTTTCATATTGACTTAGACGAAGGCTTCAGTCTTGAATCTTATCAGTCAACAGAAATGCGAATTCGAACAAAAAGATTCGACTGACCGACAGTTATGTCTGTATACTACGTGCAAAAAAAGAAGTGAAGTGAAACACATCGTATCATGTTTAGATTCTAAACCTTAAAGCATAAGGGAAAGTGGAAAATGGATTTGACTGTCGAAATAAAATGCAAAATCCAAACAAGAGATTAGTTCCTGACAAACGCAATCACCTGATTGACCGAGAAAGAGCCTCACCCAGACACTGTCATGTTGCGAGCTCTCCCTTATCGTCTCTATTTTCGATCATGCACAAATTTGGGAGCATATAATTTCAAATGTATGAGATCCACGAGACGAGTAATAAAACAGCTCACTTTTTACACCTAGATTAAGGTCTGGGTCTTAACACATTTCTCGGAATTTTTAAAGGGGAGGGGTGTAATGTAAAATATTTTTAAGATATCCCATGACTAATATTCTAAGGCTAATCATAACGAAGAAGTCTTCCAATTTCATGTTAAATGTTGTTATCATTCATTCAAAATATTTCCCCAATTCTGATTGGGTAAAAACAATTCATTATTCACCATAACCAGCTACCATGACCAAATTTGGAAGAATTTTGCGATTTATAAACCGATGACGTCAAAAGTACAGCTTCCTTGCAGGTTAATGCGCTGTTAACCGAGAAGACCTGGTGACGAGGTTGACTTGTTTTGGTTGTGAAAACAAAAATGGCGGACATTTCACTCGTTTCAAGAGTAAGAACTAGGCAAAATAATAGCTAAAAACGTGGCAAGAACAGCAAGAGGACAACTCGAAGGGCGACATCAGTGTGCTAATTGGATAATATTTGAGGAGCTGAACAACCCTAAACGTGCACTATCGAAGATGAACTTAACATCAATGGAGGTAAGCATGTTTTAGCTATGTTTTTACACCAAGAATTATTTTGAATGAAAAATAAAACAATTATTGAATTCGGCTTTCGTTCCCTGCCTGTTGTGTTGGAGCATAATTCAGTGTGTACTTACATAATTTCAATTGTAGAATCATAAGGAATATTTTCGACCAGATGGTCAGCACCGCCAGGCTTTTAGTTATTTGCGTGCTTGTGCAACCCACCTCTGCTGTGTTTGACTTCCATACTCTCGCTTAATTAACTTTGTGCTTGACTTTGCCAAACCCTTCGATATGGTTCAGGGTAAGAGATTCAAATCGAAATTGCATCTTGGGTGAAACTCTCTTTGTCAGGTAGATTACTTATACTAATGTCAAAGCTACCATATAAAGAACCAGAAGTGGCACTCCTTGAAGCGTGGAAGAGAGGTTGTGTCAGTCCTCCTAGTCAGCAAACAAGGCCTGAACACTCTCTCTTTCCACCCTCGAAGGCGTGTCTACACCCCTCCACACGCGTGCATCTTGGCAAATACACAAAAAACACCTTGCAGGAGTAACTCGCACAAATTAAGTTTAAGTTAAAACCAAGTTTTTCTAGTTAAGGTAGCATAGAGCAGCCACGTTATAAAACGATCTTCCCTCCAATGTAATTGAACTTAGCAAGAGAGAATGAAGGTTACTATCCGTGGACTGTGATTGTATGCCACACGTGGTTATATAACTTGAAATTTGAGTGTAGTGAAAAAAATCGTTCCTATGGCCATAGCAAAACATTCTGTGAGAATAACTGACCGTTTCACATGCTCCTCCGCAAATGCCGTCTATGGCATAACATTAATTATAATCTGTATGCTTGTACTCTACGCAAAACAATCTACACAGGAGAAACAAAGACAAACCAGAGTTCCGTTTCCGAGAACAACATCTATGAAATTTCTAAGAGCCATAAGAGCCCAAATCTCTTATGAATATCATTAATTCAGATCGTTCAAAAGTAATATGCAGTTTCAGGGAAGCCACCTGGCCTCACATAAGTACAAACTATGAGCCAATTTCTTTGCTTCCAAATATTTCGAAAATTACCCAGAACGGCCATATACACAATCCCTTAAAAGAAAAGGCCGTGTTACAGTTGTGTACTCAGTGCCCTTGCCTCTGAATAGAAGCGAGGCTGGAGGTGATCCAGTTTTTTTAACAAACCTTCCTGTTTTTCAAATGTAGGAGAATAGCACGATATGCGGCATGAAACGCTGGAAGGTTTTTAACATAACAAGGTCACCCCCAGCCTCGCTTCTATTCAAAGGCCAGTAGTCTACTATGTTGAAACTGAACCGTTTTGGTGCGTTCCCTTTGCGTTCCGTGTGCGTTCCCTTAATTAATAGGCATATGTGCCAAGTCAGTGTCTAGCTAGCTGGGTAAAAATGCGTTCCTCCATATATAATGAAGTGGATAGGTTTACTAATGAGCGTCACTCTACTACAATAGGAACAATAGGCTTGCCTAAACTTGCCCGGGCTCTTTTAACCCTGATTGGATAGTAAACAATCTACTACGTGTTTAACATAAAAGCGCGCTTTCCCTTCAGTATTTCATTCTTGCAATCGCTTTGCTAAGGAAAAAGTCTTATTATCACCAATATTTTTTAAAACATTGCTCCAAACATGCAAGTCGAATCGAGCTGTAAACTTGTCTGACTATTACAGAACTGTTTTCTCCCATCTATCTCGAGGACATGAAAAACTATTGAAGTCTCAACGTTTCACGCACGGTTAATCAGGTAATTATGCGAGTTCACAAGCCCAAAGTTGAATACAAATTAGCTCTACAGGAAAGACCCAAGGGAGAGAATCTTGACGTATTATTATAAAACAAATAACTTAACAAGGATCAATTAAAAGACGCGACTCATAGTTGCTAGCAATAAAAACACAAGAGAGATACCGTATTAAAAAACTTTATTAAAAACAAAAAGAGTCAAATACACAGGAATGGAAATTAATTAATCTTCATCTTCTTTCTCCTCTGTAGAAGGGGAATAGAAATTGGTTTCCAACGTCTTCGCGTTTTTGTGTGTAACTGCTCCGCAATCGTGACATCGAAGAAAGCGACTTTCTCCTGCCACTCCTCCCTTTGCATTACAAGACCTTTACATGATAAAATTAGACTAAGCGTAAATGAAGAAGCAAATGAACGTAACTGTCTCTCTGCAGTGGAAGCCTCGCGGGGGACGATGGGAAGAGCGAAATCGGCTTTTTCCCTCTTCCCATCCTACCTCAACACAAAAAGGCTTCTTTGGAGGAGAAAGAGAACTGGCGTAAGGAAAGCAGAGGACCCAACATACCTAAAGAACAAAGTAACAAGAAGAGGGATTGTGTTCAGTTTCTAGCGAATAGGTTTTAGCTTTGATTTTTTAATTTTTCCGATTTTAGTGCTACTCAAGTTTACAACTAATTGTGCTACTCAATAGCATAGTTATTAGAGGAGACTGGTTATGAAAAGCGGCAAATATCAATGATAAAAACAACAGTGCTGCAGTTTATGTTCAAAGCACCGTGAAAGTGCACAATCCTTTGTTTTCTGTTGGCAAATTGTTACGGAATAAATTAATGCAACGTTTTTATTGGTCAATACAATCAAAATGATAGGAATTCTTTTGAACGTTGTGCACTTTCAGGTACACAAAAACATATAACAAAGGAGTCTGACGGGTTTCATAACCATTCCACTCAATTAACTATGTCAATAGTTTACAATAAATTGTCACTTTTCCGGTTTTAAAGATGAGGTTACTGATACCTTAATTAGGTATCAACCCTGCGTTAATGTTAAAACGAAAAAAAAATCACCTTGTGCTTCACTGATTAACTCTTCACGGGCTTTGTCGTATTCTTGTTCGTCTATGGTCACGATCACCTCCACTTGTTCTCCACCGGCAAGTTCTTTTACTTCGTCTGTAACAAG